TTGCTAGGCCTATATTTTATTGTTGAAGTATCATATTGTTGTGACCCATAGACATGGTCAAGGTGTAGTATAGCACTTTTTCTGCTTTTTGACTAATTGGATCCTGCTATTCCCATAAATAGAACAGTTACTCCTCACTGTGCATTTTTTTTTTTAGTGATTGGTACTAAAAGACCATTAATATTATTTTCTTCCTCTTTAACCCCTCTAAATCCTAAGCTTCACAGATGCCAAAGTGGCAAGACCATACCTATTTTGACTTTGGCAACAAGTACTCAGTAAGATTTGGCCCTCCATTTTCTGTGGTAACACATTTTCATTGGTTTGCATTTAATTTTGCCTTAAAAAGATGAAGCTGAATGCTAGTAGTTAATTGTACAGTTTTGTGTATATATGCTGCAGACATAGACCTGTTTAAGAGAATGACATTTTAGAAATAAGAGTTGAGACTGAAGGTTTGCACTCAGGCATTCGTAAATGAACTTGGAAACAAAATGTACCTATATTTATGAAAAAGATACAGGTGAAACCAGCCAAACACCTGTCTTGCATTGCAATGATATTCTCATCCATAAATTTTTCTGCATTTGTTACAATGAACAATGTTCAAAATGTACCTTGTGTGTTTCTTAGTTCTTCAGATATCCACTATTTTATTAGTCATCTCTTACCAAAGATTGCATGACTTTCCCAATTTTCTAAAGCTAATTTAACTCATCATTGCTTGGTGAACAGAAATCCATTGAGCATAATAAACTGTTCATCGGCCAGACACTGGGCGCGGGAGTCTGGGACATCAAGCAGAACATCCCGCTCCATATTCTCTGGCATGTTGCCACATGTGCAGGCATACCCCGCTGACCAAGTGGTTTATGATGCTGGTACATGTGACCCATCCGGGTCAGGTTAACAGAGGAAGTTTTGCTGAAATAGTCCCTGTAAGAATTAGATAATTTACTGTAAAGCACTTTAAAAAGTTGGTAAAGTTGACTATGAAAGCTGGCTTTCTCACAGGTATACAAGAAACCTTGGTCCTAGAAAGTAGGAATATCACAAATAGGACAAGTCTTGTTTTATAATAATAAAAAAAAAAAAAAATGGTGCTGTGACTTTATGGAAACCTATGGGCTTGAAGAAGCAGTTAGCCCCTTACTGATGGGTTAGGATAATTAATTAATTAGTTATAAAAAAAAAAAGGAACACTGGAGATTAATGACAATGAGCCGACTTTGAGCGTGGGATTAGCTACATCAAGCCAAACCCCTGGCTTGTAGTGCTTTCGTGTGTCGCTGCGGCATGCAGCCGCACTCCATAGATTGAACGGTTATTACGCCTCAGCGTGTGGCCCGTCGGTATGGGGTTAAGGGATCTTGGGACATAAACGGCTACAAGTGAAATATGGGGAATTGGAGGCCTAGAAGCAGTAAATGCAAAATGCTGATATTATTTACTATTAACCCTAGAGCAGTGTACCACCTTGTGGCAAACACCCCACTGGTACATTTGAATCTGAAACTTGAAGAGAAAAAACAATTAATCAAAAATATTATTGTTTCATTTAATGAATCTTTGAACATTTTATAACCCCATTGGCTCAGTTCAATATGCATTAATGAATATAAAGAAAAAAAAATACCTATTTCATGTATTATAGTAGGCTATAAAATAACCAGTCTGTAGATGGATTCCATATGACAACAAAAAACACATTGATATTCACACTACTGTCTGATGTCTGTTTTGTTATAATGGTGTAGCAAGATCAGAGGAGGACAAGAAAAATGAGTTAAAGATTAAAAGTACATGATAGCTTACATGTGGTCACTAACAAAAGTGCAGCCCAGATATGGGCAATGTAATATACACTGAAAATGGTCTACTGACAGGTGTAATTGCAGAATGTAGATACTGAGTGCAAGTACTCAAATCTGAGATTTGTTGCAGTTGATGCAGTAGTACCTCATCTACCTTTCCTTTCCTAGACAGAGTAAACATCTTGTAGTTTCCAGTCTAGTGCAATTTGTCTGGGATGTTGTATTCAAGGAAGACAGACCCCCTCCCCCCCAATCCAGAAAAACCTGTGTTTCAGACCTTGTAATTTTATTGCCTCTAAAACATGCATAATTAGCATTGGCATCCAAACTTTAGGAATCTATTGAAGTCAAGGTTCCCTGGCACCTAGAAGTTGCTAAACCAAAGTTGGCACCAAAATACTGTATCTCGCAGACTCAAGTCTACTGTTTTAGGCAAGGTATTTACAAGTAAGGTCTCATCACTTCGGTGTTGTGTGCAACTTTGGCTGATAAGGGTATGAAGTTGTTGGTATGGGAGTACCACTATGATTGAACTTTGATGACAGGAAATGTTAATGGGCAAAAACTATATATGTAAATATTTATTCTGGTCTCCTAACTGTATGCCTTTAGATTGTTATTCTTATTATTTCTTAATGTTATCATTCTTATAATTTTTTATCATTTTTATTGTTCTGCAATCAGAAGGTAAGCAAATTAGTCCTCTATCCACAGAAATTTTTGCTGGTAGACAAGGCCATTATGAAATATCTTTTGCATGATTGTTGAAGATGTAGTGCAGAACAAGGAGAAGTTTGTTTCCGATTTTCCTGTTATGGAGAGATTTTTGTTGTAAGGAAGGAATATACATTTGTATAGTTTTCACATTTACTTCAAACTTTACAATTCTGTCTTTGACAGCTTTTATTAACCCCAAGCTGCTAGGGATGTATATGCCATGCCGACTGTGATTTAAATATATTAATTTATTTTTATATATAGATGGCTCCACAAGTACCAAGTTATCAATGAGCCAGTTATGAGTACTACTTGTTTCACCTGTTTACCCATTTCCTTGTTTTTCAAAAGTATTTTTTTGGTACTAATATTGCTGTTAGCAATGTCAATAACACTATAGTAGTTAAAAAGTATATAATAAAAATGACAGCATCAATATTGATAGCATTAGTCAAAAGAGCATTTTTCCTTGAAACTCAAGGAAAGGTGAAATCAGAAGAGGTCATGAGATCAAGTAATTGACTCCTATGTAGCTAAGCACTTGCAGACACACTATGCAAAACAATAATATAGGGAACATAACATTTTCCCAGGACCTTTGGGTTAACTAAAATGATTGGGCCGATCTGCTTGTCAACCAGGCACCGCAAATTTTGATTTGTTAATGAGATGGATGTTTTAAGCACACTAGTCACCTCAGCCCAGTACTGTCGAGATGTTTGTGACCGGGGAAAACCCTGATCTGACTGCCTGGATACTGATGAACCCTTGGCATCTGAGAAAAGCACCAGTAATGCAGTGCTGCAAGAGTGGTTACACCAGTGATGAAACCTTACTTTTGTAGACCTTGGCTCTAGGGTTAAGAACTTGTTACAGAGTTGAACTTGTGTTCATTAAACTGGTTTTTGATGTAACTTGTGCATTTGGAGTATTGTCAAATAGGCATTTAAAATGGGGGATTTTTTAATAACTAAAGAAGAGCACAGGCTGTACAGAATTTCTAACCATACAAAATATTTTATGCTTTGTTATGCATTCATGCTCTAGTAAAATATATCATAAACTTGTATTGGCAACATTGACCATCAGTGGAGGATGAATCTTTAAAAATGGTCGATAATTATCTAAACTCATGGGGACAACCATTCAGTTATTGACTTGTTCTCAGTCTATTTGTGATGTGGTGTTTGGTGTAAATTTAAAATGTTTTATTATAGTATGTATAGATGCATCTTTAGAAGAAGCAGGGTACTCTCCATTTAACAATAAATGAAGTTGTAAGATGTTAATCAGGCTGCGAAAAATCTTTTTTTTTTTTTTTTTTTTTTTTTTTTTTTTTTTTTTTTTTCTTTCCCCCCCCCACTTGTCAAGGAGGACAAGTACACCTGACTTTCCACTTGTCCTCTTCTGAATACCACTTGTCCGAAATATATATATATATATATATATATATATATATATATATATATATATATATATATATTATAAAGAAATTTATCAACTGTGATATGTGAAACTAATATAAATAACTAATATATGAAACTAATATAAACAAATATGGCATCCTCCATAATCATAGAACTGAAAGGAACTAGACCTTGCTAGATTTCATTAATTTTAGGGAAAAATCTACTGGAAATTTTTACTCGTCCATGCGAACAAGCGAGGTAAACATTTTACTTGTCCTCCACAAGTTTACACTCGTCAAAGACGTGCGGACGTGGGATTTTTCGCAGCCTGTGATTGATTATACAGATTCCTAATTTCCTGAAAATGATGGAACATTCTTCAAAAGAAAAGTATAGCGTAAAGAGAATGTAACAAATCAAGAAAGGCTGGAGAGTATTAGATAATACTATGTTTATTAGGAAACCTTATAGTTCAGTGTAAAAGTTAACAGGGTTCCTGCAATAGAGGTGGTAGCAAAACTTAAACTTTGGTTTAGCTCACTTAGTAGCATTTCCTTGAAATTCTGGGCTTCTTGTTCAGGATTGTCTATTATTTATTTTTAATGAATTGATTTTTTTTTTTTTTTTTTTTTTTTTTTTTTTTTCTTTCTTTCTTTCTTTCTTTCTTTCCAGTCATACAATGTGAACATTTTACCATTTTACTAGTTGTATGGACTGAAGCAATTTCCACCAGCCTTTTAGATAGGCAGAAAATAAACCTTGGTCAATGTGATGCATTGTAATAAAAAGCACGTGATACCTTTCATAGTTTTGAAGTCATTTCCAGAATTGCTGTATTTTGATATAACAAATGCTTAATATTTTTCATTTGTATCATTGCACGATCAGATATCACCCAGAAATTTTTGGAATCTGTGTACTAGGTTATATTGACATGTACTGCCTAGCTCTTTGATTATGTTGTAAATATTGACTTGGTCTATTATTATTACAGTTCTCTAGTAATTATGTACTTATTTTTTGGAGTTGGAGTACACTTAATTTTTAAGAGTTTAAGACAAATCTACACAAAGAAATAATATCATGGAAAAATGTTTACCCCTGGGGGTACTCCAGGAGGAGCACGTGGCGGGGAGGCAGTCGATTCCGAAGAGATCAGGATCCCTGACAAGATGGTTGGCATGAGTGAGTACAAAGTGTGGTTTCAGGATGTTTTGATAACACTCCCTTTGGTCTAGCTCCTCTCCCTCCTCTTCCCTAGCCTCCCTTCCCCCCCTCTTCTTCTCCTGCCTCCCTTCCCCCCCCCCTCTTCCCCTTCCTCCCTTCCCCCCCTCTTCTTCTCCTGCCTCCCTTCCCCCCCTCTTCCCCCTTCCTCCCTCCCCTCTCCCCCCTTCCTTTCCCTTCCTCCTCCCCCCCCCCCCTTTCCTTCCCTTCCTCCCTCTCTCCCCCTTTTCCTTCCCTTCCCTTCCTCCCTCCTTTCCTTCCCTTCCCTTCCCTTCCCTTCCTCCCTCCCTCCCCCCTTTCCTTCCCTTCCTCCCTCCCTCCCCCCTTTCCTTCCCTTCCTCCCTCCCTCCCCCCCTTTCCTTCCCTTCCCTTCCTCCCTCCCTCCCCCCCCTTTCCTTCCCTTTCCTTCCCTTCCTCCTCCCTCCCCCCCCCTTCCTTCCCTTCCCTTCCCTTCCCTTCCTTCCCTTCCCTTCCTTCCCTTCCTCCTTCTCCCCCCCCTTTCCTTTCCTTCCTCCCTCCCTCCTTTCCTTCCCTTCCTCCCTCCCCCCCCCTTCCTTCCCTTCCTCCCTCCCCCCTTTCCTTCCCTTCCTCCTCCCCCCCCCCCCCCCCTTTCCTTTCCTTCCTCCCTCCCCCCCTTTCCTTCCCTTCCTCCCTCCCTCCCTCACCCTTTCCTTTCCTTCCCTTCCTCCTCCCCCCCCCCCCCCTTTCCTTCCCTTCCTTCCTCCCTCCCTCCCTCCCCCCTTTTCCTTCCCTTCTCCCTCCCTCCCCCCTTTTCCTTCCCTTCCCTTCCCTTCCTCCCCACCCCCACTTTCCTTCCCTTCCTCCCTCCCTCCCTCCTTTCCTTCCCTTCCCTTCCCTTCCTCCCTTCCTCCTCCCCCCCCCCCCTCCCCCCCCCCCCCCTTTCCTTCCCTTCCTCCCTCCCTCCCCCCTTTCCTTCCCTTCCTCCCTCCCTCGCCCCTCCCCCCCCCTTTCCTTCCCTTCCTCTCCCCCCCCTTTCCTTTCCTTCCCTTCCTCCCTCCCTCCCTCCCCCTTCCCTCCTTTCCTTCCCTTCCTCCCTCCCCTCCCCCCCTTTCCTTCCCTCCCTCCCTCCCCCTCACTCTTTCCTTCCCTTCCTCCCCCCCCTCCCCCCTCACCCTTCCCTTCCTCCCCACCCCCACTTTCCTTCCCTTCCTCCCTCCCTCCCCCCCTTTCCTTCCCTTCCTCCCTCCCTCCCCCCTTTCCTTTCCTTCCTCCCTGCCTCCCCCCTTTCCTTTCCTTCCTCCCTTCCTCCCTCCCTCCCCCCCTTTCCTTTCCTTCCTCCCCTCCCTCCCTCCCTCCCCCCCTTTCCTTTCCTTCCCCCTCTCTCTCCCCCACATCCACCTTCTTTCCGTATGCCATATTATTCCTCCTGTCTTACCTCTCCCATTTTTGTATTTTTGATTAATTTGTTATGGTTGGCTCATTTTTGTTTAGTTCCAGCAAATTCATAGGAAGGATAAGAAAAAAATTAAGAAAGATTTGTGATTTAAGAGGGTAAGTGGGGAAAATTGTTTTTTATGTAGGAATGGGCTCAGCATCAAGAAAATAACGTTGCATTATTGTTGCATTATTTTTGTGTAACCTTTTTAGTTACCCAAGCTTACTGAACTAAGGCAAAGTATTACATCTTTCCAAAAGTTTTTTTTTTATTGTACTTTCATCTACCCCCTCTCATTTGCTAGTTTGATATTAGTAGTGATTGAACACAGGTTTAGTCCCTCTTCTTACAAATATATTTCACCACAACATAATTTCTATGACCTTGCATTATTGATAGTATCCACCTTTGCACTCCCAGTACTATAACAATTATGATTATTAACATTACTGTTCTTGGCTTGTTACTCATATTTTGCTACCAAGACCAGCCACTCCTGGCTGTGATTACTGCTGACCAGTTTACTATAATGTCATCATTCTTTCACTAACCAACAGCCTCTTTACCCACAAAATCACTCCTATGCTGTAATTCACTCACTCACTCAAATACACAAACACAGGCACACAAACAGACACACAGGCACACAGACAGACACACAGGCACAGGAACACAGACAGACAGACAGACACAGTCACAGACACACAGACACAGGCACCCAGACAGACACAGACACTGGCACCCAGACAGACACACAGGCACACAGACAGACAGAGACACAGGCACAGACAGACACACAAGCACAGGCAGACACACAGGCACAGGAACACAGATGGACACACAGGCACACAGACACACACAATCACAGGAACACAGACGGACACACAGGCACACAGACACACACACAGGTACAGGCACACAGGAACAAGCACACACAGAC